ATTTATGAGACCTTTAATAAACACCATATATATAAACGTCTTATCGTATCTTAAAAACTCCTATAAAAATAGTGATAATATTAATAAATTACATAATTAATATTATTTGTATATGTTCAATTTTCTAAAAGATTTCTGCACTGCACGTATAATAAAAAAATACAAACCACTTCTTTCCTTCTCATTATCGTTTTTAACCGTTATTTAAGTTTTTTTTTTTAAAAATGAGATTTTGTCAATGCAGTGATTGTAACATACTTATAACTTCCAGTTTATGCGGATACCGCACTTTTCTGTACGGCAAATAAAGAAAAACTATAAGCAATTATTTCAAGAGTTCGCACTACTTATAAAAGTTGATTTTTTCTGTGATTTGCATATCTGTTCAAAAGACAATGTGCGCAAAAATTTTTTTGTGTGCTGCGCGCAGTCCGCACAGCGAACAATAATCACTGGTTCCACCAACTTTTATTAAAAGCGATTCTGAAAATGTTAGCATATAGTACAATAACTAATAAAAAATAATTTTTCTTTTGAATAAATGTTTCGAACTTCACATAAGCCAGGTAAGATTAAAATTTTAATCATTTCACGAAATACTATAAAGTATTAGAAACGCAAATCTTTGAAATAATGAAAGCTAACTCTAATTTTGGCCAGTCAGAGTTTTTGATGATTAGCCAATCAAAAAATTCATCTTGCTGCCTTGACTATGTTTCAGTTTTGTAATTTAAATTGGCCAATCAAATTGCTATAACACAAATTTAATTTATTTAAATTTAAATGTTACAGTTTTTTAATTGGTCAATTTTATAAGTCATAGCTATTAACTATTTATAAAAATCATATTTTTAAAATCTGACTGGTAATTTTATAAACCTTTTTTTGAAAACCAAAATTACTAGTTAGCTTTTTAAAATTTTAATTTTTTAAAGAGTTAATAGATTTTAAAAGTCACCTATTATATTGGTGAGTTAAGATTTCCTACACCATAGAATTTCCTTTTTACAAAAGGCAAAAAAATTTTTACTCAGTCAGTGATAGCTTAACTGTGTTATGCGATTAATCCTCTTTACCATATAGAGAATTAATATATTTAATACATAATACATTATTTTTAAAGTTTATTATCTCAAATTTTATAAAAGCGTTATGCAAAAATTTCATAATTACGTAATATCTTCTTAACCTTTTCATAAACACCTAAAAATACGTATCCACCAACAGATATCCACAATACGCGTGGGCCTATTCCAGAAAATAACACTTTTATACCTTCTTGCGTTAAAATACGATAAAATGTGTTTGTTATTCCAAAATAATTATGTATGTTTTGATCCTATTAATCACAATTAATTATTTATAACCCATTAAAACAGTAAATAATCATAAATTATTACAGGAAATAGTACTTTAGCTGACAGCATCAATCGTGTTTTAATAACATCTAAAGGCGTAGTGACACCGGCGGTTATACCACCAGCAAAAGATCCACAAATCGCAGCTTCCCAAGGTTCAATATATTTTCGATGTGTGTAAGCTGTAACTAAATGTTTAAAATATTCGTATAATGGAAACTGAATACATGAGAATGGTACCTAAATAAGTCAATCAAAAATTTATTATTTATATGCTTTTTTATAATAGTAAATATATATAAATGTCCACTAACTTCTCTAAAAACTAAACTTGTGAACCCTCGGTAAAAACCAAAAAATCCTTCTTGTTGAAGAATAATTTTAACTGCTTTAGATAGTGATGAATATTGTTTTACTTGCATTCTTGATTTAATGACTTCAGTTGGTGTACGAATTAAACATGCAACCTTTAATGATGTATTTAATAAACTTTAAATAAATATTTAATAGAAATCTGTATTACTAAATTTACATACAATTTCACCACTTGAAGCGGCCGCCATATGAATCAACGAGGGATACTTCGTATCAGGAATTAAATTCCCTAAATATTTTTTAAAGTATTCATATGTAACAAAAAATGCCGATGCTAAGAGAAAAAAAGATAATAGTATAAAATAAAATAAAATAAAAGTCAAATTTAACCCACGAATCTGTTTAAATATTAAACAGCAAATAAATGTTTAAACCTCCAGGGGCACTTCCAATAATGACGCTAGTTAATCCCGAATAAATTCCACGAAATCCACCCGATGAATAAAATCCAGACTTCGATTGCAATCTGGTTTTTATTGTATCTAATGGATATAAAATCACGTCCACAGATGTTCCCGCTATTCCACCAGCCTTTACAAAACACAAGGATGAATTAAAAAAATTTTATATATTAAATAAATTTCAAAATCTATAATAGATACAAACCACTAATGCTTGTGCGAAATTAACATTGTAACTAGTTTCTTTTTCCATATGGAAGACACGAAAAATCTCTGCAGGTTAGATCATTTTTCATATGAAATCTGGTAGATCATTTTCGTGTAACACAGAAATCGAATTAGTGATACAAATAGAAGATTGAATTACAGTAATTGATTAATTTTTAAAGTTGACAACTAATCAATTTGAATTTTACAAGCCCAACTTAATCGATTGGCTTAGTCGATTGGTCAATTAATCGACAATTGATTGGTCGTTAATTACCTAATCATATAAGAATATCAACCAGATTGTTTCAGTTGCTACTTTACGTGTATTTTACCAAGTTTCATTTTATTCAACTAATCAGATTAGTTGAATAAAATCGATTAATCGATTATTTGAATAAAATGATCTATCAACTAATTGATTGAAAAATTTTCACGAATCCTTCGGGGTGTCCTCAAAGTTCGGGTAGTGGTACGGGCGATTTGAGGTAATCAGCCAAAGTTTACCGCAAATTTTGAGCGAGTGCACTTTTTTCTGTAGATCGTAAGGATATTATATCAGATTAAATTTGCCAGTAAATTTATGATATGCTATCTGAAAGTAATAAATTTACATAATTCAGTAATTATTAGTAGCAAATAAAATTTTAAACTAAGCAGCCAATGAAAATTCAAGGATCGACAACCATGTTTTTTGTTAGCGCTATCGTTAGAAACCATCTTTTTATGCCCATAACAACTAGATTTTTTTTTTAAAAACGTGATGTCGAAATAAATGTTCAGTTGTATATCGTAAATATAATTTCGTCTTCGATACAATATCTAATTTTTTCGCGTAAACTTGTCCATTGCATGTACTCAAATCAAATATGAAGCTTTCAAAGTCCAATTTAACCTTATTTAGAATTAAAATTTTTCTTGTATTTTAATGACTTGATTTTTTTTTTTTTTATTAATAATAAAAAATAAAAACAATCGCATAATGTCTGGGAATGAATCTTTGGCAGCTTCTAGACGCTTGAATATTTTACTTAATCATCTTAATAATGAAGAGGATAATAATCCAAAAGAATGGCGGACTTTATCGCCAAGTCAATGTCTAACAGTCTGTACCAATCGGGACAGAAAATGGAACGGATACGGTTATAAAGATACTGTTTTTAAATTCGATGAACGTGGAACTGCCTTTTCAACGGGAAACCGTTATTCAAATTTTAGTTCTAAAGAATTTCATGAACTTCGCCCATGGCTTGAACAAACACTTCGAATAAATTTGAAAACTATGTGTCCGGCTCAACCCAATATTATAGAACTGGCTAGCCCTAATGTTAATCATGAATTTTATGACGCAATAAAACCTCAAGGAATTATGATTTCATTTGCCGAGCAAGACAGGTTGTCGCATGGGCATGGTATTAGTACTGCTGAAATTTATAAGCTTAGACATGGGAATTTGACTCGAATACCCGACGCGGTAGTTTGGCCAGAAAGCCACGAACAAGTAGAAACCATTGTCCGAGCAGCTCTTAAATTTAATGTTGGTTGTATTCCGTATGGTGGTGGTTCAAATGACGTTGATGCTTTGGAGTGCCCTGAAGAAAATGAAAAAAGAATGATAGTCTCTTTAGACATGAGGCAAATGAATAGGATTTTATCATTGAGTCGAGAAAATATGTATGTTGTAGTTGAAGCCGGCGCTATTGCCCAAGACCTCGAGAAAGAATTGCGGAAATGGGGTTTTACTTTAGGATGGGACGCAGAAATGGTTTGCATTTAAACTTTTCATAGCATTTACTCGCTGAATTATTAAGAAAAAAATTGATAGATTATTGTGATTTAGTTAGAATTTTGTACTGTTGGTGGTATTACTTCCCTACGCTCAAATGATATCAAAAGAAATATGAACGGTGACCTTGAACATAGCATTATAAATTTCAAGATGGTCACCCCTGCAGGTTAGTCTTTATCGTTTTTACAAATCGTAATCAGGTACATAACTAACGCTTCCATAATGTCATTAGGCACAATACAAAGAAGTGGTATACATACATCACCAATTTCTTCGGGTCCTAACTTTCAATTACTATTCGGTACAGAAGGTACACTGGGCGTCATCACCGAATTGGCACTTAAAATTCATTTTTTTGCACCTCAACATTATTATGTTTCTGTCTATTTTCCATCATTTCACAATGGACTATTATTTCTTCGCGAGATTGCGCAAAAGAATATTATAAAGTTTAGCGGTGCACGTTTGGTGGATGAACCTGGATTACAGCTTGTGAATGCATTTAATACTGCGACACCAACTATCAAATCGGTTTTCTCAGAAGTAATCAAAAAATATTACCTGAAAAAAATAAAGAAATTGGAATCTGGTAAAATGTGCTTGGCCGCTATACTTATTGATGGTCATGATATTGTAAAATTAAAAGGATGTGAAAAAAAAATCGATGAAATTGGAAAACAATATGGTGGCGTAATTGCTGGGAGTGATTTAGGTGAGAGGATGTTTTTTGTATCAAAGGTAAGAACAAAATGATAAGGATGAATCTTCAACTGTTATCCGTGATTGCATCTATGTATGTTAATAATTATTCTACAATTTCATAGAGATTACCTTATCTTCGTGATTTTCTTTTAGACTATTATGCGATATCAGATCGACTTGATGCAACTGCTTCGTGGTCAAATGTCGAAGTGCTTGTCGAAAAAGTGAAAGAAGCAATTACGGACGCATGCAAGACTCAAGGTATTCGGCCAAAGCCATACATTGGCGCTCGAATCGATCATATGTAAGTTATTAGGTGTGTTAGTAATTCTCCTTTCTCTATTAGTGTTAATCTTATATTAATATATCGTCGTTAATTAGATATGACACAGGTGCAAGCATAACTTTCACTTATGGATTCAATTCTCACAATCTCAGTGATCCCCTTAGTGCATTAAGGTTTATAGAACAAATTGCGTTAGCTGAGATATTACGATCAAACGGATCCGTTTCACATAATATTTCCGGCATAGGGAAAAGAAAAAAAGAATGCTTTCGAGAGTCTTTAAGCGAGGTATTATCGAAATTTACCTGGTTTTTGTTTAAAAAAAACAAATTCTAATAAATTTTCAAACACATTTTAGCCTGCTGTTAAAGTTTTGAAGAACATGAAAAAGTATGTATCCATTAATTAATTTAGTAGAAAAATTTAATGATTTTAATTAAATCCATTTCTCATCTATGTAGAACACTAGATCCGACAAATATATTTTGCAATCAAAATTTAATATAAAAATCTATTGATGTTATTTATGCAGTAATAATGAAAAGTAAAATTTATTCTAATTTAATAACATTTTAGTATAGAACATTAACATACTGTATATACAAGATAATAATAGATTGTAATCAAATAAAGTTTAAGTCTACGGTTTTATTATTTATTAGTTTTTTTTCATAGTTTAAAAAATCTACCCAAAGAACGAAAAGCATTAATTTTTCCATTGTTCTCCGATAACATCTGTCCATTTTTTATCCTTCAGTTCACTAAGAATTCCGTCTTTAATCTCTCTTACTTTGCCTACACCATCATATGCAAAGCTGGTATAAAGTTGTACTAAAGTCGCCCCAGCGCGCGCATATTCTAGAGCATCTTTAGCATTAGAAATTCCTCCACAACCTACAAGAATTAGCTCACCATTTGTACGTTGATATATTTTTCGTAAAGATTTAAGCGCTAAAGGTTTAAGAGGAGGTCCAGAAAGACCTCCAGTTTCAGAAGCTAATGATGAATCTATGGTTGTAATCATAAAAAAAAAAAATTTAAATCGATTCTCCTACTTTGTGAACGTTATATTTGTAATCTATCAATTTTATACCAACCACTATATAATGAGTTTGGTCTAGAAATAGTAGTATTGGACACAATTATACCATCAACACCACTTTTCATAGCGGCATCGGCAATATCATCTAACTCATCATCAGAAAGGTCAGGTGCAATTTTAACTAAAAGAGCTGGGCGTGAACCACTCAACGAATCGCGAGCAATTATAACCTATGAAATAACATTGTTTAAAAAAAAATATATATATAATAATATAACATCAAAGAAATTTCCACGTAAAGGGAATATTACCTCATTCAATAGCTTCTCAAAGATATCTTTCCTTTGCAGTCCTCTTAATCCCGGAGTATTTGGACTGCTCACATTAATAACCAATAAATCAGCATAAGGACCTAACGATTTTACCCCTTTAACATAATCGTCCACTGATTCAGGATCGCTTGATTTATTTTTCCCTAAATTTATGCCTAGCAGTTTATCATCCTTTAAACTTCTGTTAATTCCTAAAGCATCAGACAATGAAGCACCGTCTGGAGAAGATGTCAGAAGAGAGGCAGTGGTCCTAGGATGAAGTTTTGCCGAATGATAAAGATAACGTCGAAGACGATCACGGAGTTGAAGTTCTACCATCTTGTGGCCAACCGAATTAAATCCATATCGATTTATAACCGCTTTGTCATCATGGAGTCGAAACATACGTGGTTGAGGATTTCCGGGCTGCATCATTAATTTTTGTTAGCATTCATTCAAAAATTTGAGTATCTTTCTTGATTCATGCCTAATACTTAGTTACCTGAGGTTCAGGGGTAACACTTCCGATCTCTACGTAACCAAACCCAAGATCAAAAAGACTATCGATAGCTTCACCATGCTTATCGAATCCAGCAGCTAAACCGATTGGATTAGAGAACTTTTTTCCCCATGCCTAATAAATCGACAACAGACGATCAGCACACCACCTCTTACTGTTTAGTGAGCGGAATTAGATATCTTACTCTAACTGCTAATTTTTCGTCGTCCGAAAGTCTGTCTTTTGGGCAAAAACCCCACTTTGCCACCCATATAGCAAATTTATGACTCGTTTCAGCATCAGTCACATTTCTCAGAACGGGTGTGACAAAATATTTATGAATAGCTGCCCTTGAATCAAAATAATATTCTAAAAAGGTGACACCAAATACGATGCTGACGGTTCCAATGATAAAATTTTTTAGTTTTGTTGTAAAAGGTGGTAGTTGCTGAGTCACTGTGGTAGATAAAACACGGGATCTCGGCCTAACAAAAACAAAATTTGGTTGTTTGACCTGATACAGTATCGGAGTTCTCCATGCCCTTGCATAGCTAGATGCTCTAAAGAGAGTCATTAATCAGATGTTCGGATTGATCATATTTTTAGTTAACCATTTTCTGAGTAGATCATTCTAGAACCTTCTGATTATAATCACATTAGTAATAGTTATTGTTCCAATACATTATAAAAGGGACCGTAAAACCCCTCTCCTTACAAATTCTATTTTAAACTTATATTCACTATCCAAACCAGCTTTTTTGTTTTCAGCGCTACAATAACAAACAATATGCAAATTTTCGTTAAAACTCTTACCGGTAAGACCATTACTCTGGAGGTCGAGTCATCTGACACCATTGACCAAGTTAAGCAAAAGATTCAAGACAAGGAAGGAATCCCCCCAGACCAGCAACGTCTCATCTTCGCTGGTAAACAATTGGAAGATGGTCGTACCTTGTCTGATTATAACATTCAAAAGGAGTCAACACTCCATCTCGTTTTACGTCTTCGAGGTGGTATGCAAATTTTTGTAAAAACTCTTACCGGTAAGACCATCACCCTTGAGGTTGAGTCGTCTGATACTATCGACCAGGTTAAGCAAAAAATTCAAGACAAAGAAGGAATTCCACCAGACCAGCAACGTCTTATTTTCGCTGGTAAACAGTTGGAAGACGGTCGTACATTGTCTGATTATAATATTCAAAAGGAATCTACTCTTCATTTGGTGCTCCGTCTCCGTGGTGGTATGCAAATTTTCGTAAAAACGCTCACTGGTAAAACCATCACTCTCGAAGTCGAATCGTCCGACACTATTGATCAAGTGAAACAAAAGATTCAAGATAAGGAAGGAATTCCACCAGATCAGCAACGTCTTATTTTTGCAGGCAAACAATTAGAGGATGGTCGTACTTTATCAGACTATAACATTCAAAAAGAGTCGACTTTACATTTGGTGCTACGTCTTCGTGGCGGTATGCAAATTTTTGTGAAGACTCTTACTGGTAAAACAATCACCCTCGAGGTTGAATCATCAGATACCATCGATCAAGTTAAGCAAAAAATCCAGGATAAGGAAGGAATTCCACCAGACCAGCAACGTCTTATTTTTGCGGGTAAACAATTGGAAGACGGTCGTACGCTCTCAGATTATAACATTCAAAAGGAATCAACCCTTCACCTTGTACTCCGTCTCCGCGGTGGTATGCAGATCTTCGTTAAAACCCTTACTGGTAAAACCATCACCCTTGAAGTCGAATCATCTGATACTATTGATCAAGTAAAACAAAAAATCCAAGATAAGGAAGGAATCCCCCCAGATCAGCAACGTCTCATTTTCGCAGGAAAACAATTGGAGGACGGTCGTACACTTTCCGACTATAATATTCAAAAAGAATCCACTCTTCATTTAGTACTCCGTCTTCGTGGTGGGAAATAGATATCTTTCGATGGTAGGAAAGTTTGCGGTTTGGATATGTAATTTTACTAAATTTATTTATAGCATAGTTTAATAGATGCTATATGTATGTAGTTCGTTCTTTTATGGTTCTTTGTTCATTTTCAAATTAATCGAGATATATAATAAAATTGCAATAAGGGTTAACTGAAATTTGAAAATATAAAACTTGTAGTTGTTAAGTCCTATGATTTCAAGTGTTTGTAACAAATTATACAATAGTATGTTCTCTTTGCGATACGGAAAATATAAATTATAAGAACAGTAAAAACATGCACATCACTTTACTAGCGGTTTTTATCACCATAATTGCTTTTCAAAGACTACAGTTTAATACAGTCGTAACGAACTCTGGATATAATGAACTCAAAATTCATAGTAATTTGACTTAAAAGTGTTATGGATTTTTAAGAAAACAGTAATTTTCTATAATGAACTTTTCCCGTCAGTTTGTTATAAAAAGGGTTGATATTCTAAGTAATCATGCATTTCAAAGATTCCTTTTACTTTATTTTTATCTCTAGCTTTTAGCCTTCTAACTT